ATTGGATCTCTGACCTGAATTCATTCCTGAGTTCTTGGATGTCTTTCCGTACCTCCATTAGGATGTTGATTATTTTTATTTTGAACTCCCTTTCAGGAAGAGTCACGAGGTCCATATCATTTAAATCTTTCTCGGGAGTTGTATTAACAATTTTACTCTGGACAAGTTCCTTTGGCGTTTCATGTTTGTATATGGCGCCCTCTAGTGTCCAGAAGCTCTATTCTGGAGCTGCTCAGCCCCTGAGGCAATGTTGGGGGTCGCAGGGGAGTGGTGGGGAGCGGTACTGGGGGTAGGAAAGAGCTGTTCCCCGCCTCCTGGCTGCTGTGCCTGTCTCCACTGCCTGAGCCAGTAGGCCGGGCACACAGGTATAAGTTTTTGTCCCAGAGCAGCTGGATATGGATCCCTGCTTTCCACTAGTGGCCAGAATCCCAGTCTCCCTAGGAACTCTTCCTGTATGAACTTTCCAACCTGATAGTCATGCGAGTCTCATGAAATCACCTGAATTGTAGGTTTGTGCTCCCAGCGCAGATCTCCCGAGCTAGGTATTCAGCTGTCCCAGGCCTTCCACTCCCTCCCTGCTCCATTTGTCTTCCTCCTGCCAGTGAGCTGGGGTGGGGGAAGGGCTCGGGTCTCGTGGAGCCACAGCTCTGGTACGTTACCCCGTTCGCTGAGGTCTCTTTTCTCCAGGTGTGTGCAGTCTGAAGCGTCCTCTTTCCTGTTGCTCTCAGGATTAGTTGCGCCAATTAAATTTTCTAATTTAAGTTTTAGGAGGAAGCCTCTGTCTGTCCTCTCACACCGCCATCTTTAATCCAGACTCTATGTATGTCCTTTTGTGTAGTCAGCCTTCAGCACCCCAAAGGAATCACCAGTCTCATTTCCGTCAACATAGATTAACTTTTCCTGTTCTACACCTTCATGTAAATGGAATTGTGTCTGGTTTCCTGTACTCAAGATTATGGCTGTGAGCATGTATCAGCAGTCCATTCAGTTTTATTGCTGAGAAGTATTTCACTGTGGATAGGCCATGATTTGTTTATCTGTTTACTTATTGATTTACATTTGGGTTATTCTCTTGTTTTTGGCTCTAGTGAATAAAGCTGTTATGAAATTTGAAATTTGTATACAAGTCTTTTTATATGTTCTCATTTTTCTGGGTATTATAAACAGAATTTCTGGGTGTTTCATGCTCTGACCAAACTTGGTATCAAACTTTTGAGTTTTAGCTATTTTACCTGGTGTTCATTGTGTCTTTAATTTGGGTCTCCCTGGTGAGTAATGATGCTGAGCATCTTTTCATGTGCTTATTCACCGTTTGTTTATTCTTTTGTGAGGAGTTTGTCTTGCTAGTTTTAAAATTAGGTTGTTTGTCTTACTGAGTTGTAAAGAGTTTCTCATAAATACCAAAATCAAAAATTCTGAGAACACTTTGAAAAGCTGATAATAGCATCTCTTTTTCTTTTGTGCGTTTGTAGTAAAATTGGGCAAAAACCACTGTCTCTTTAGTTTCCCTTTTTATCTGAGCATATTTATACCTGGAATTTTCTCTGTGTATTTTTTGAAGACAGTCATGGAGTCAAAATATTTATACCATTAAAACATTACCACCTAGTGGCCAAATAATTAATTTTAATATTATTAACTTTGTTAACATGTAATATTTGATATACACTCACATCTATATAGTAACACATTATAAATGTGTATAGTGTAATATATGAAATATATACATAAATGTGTGTGAAGCATAATAATACAATGAACAATTCATGAACCCACTCTCCTATTCAGAATCAGAGTATTTCCAGTACAATTGAAGCTACCTGCTTGTTCTCAGTCCCTTCGCTTAGCCTCCCATACACCATGTTACCTAGAAAAATATCTTCCCAAAGTCCCTCATGTACACTTCTGTTAAGAGTGATTAGTAGTCAATAAGATCCTTTGGAATTGCTAGACTTCTGATGTGCTTCCAAATATTGTGACCCTGTGATTCACCCTCACATTGCATTTTGGTACAGTATTAATGTTTTATATTAATTTTTAAATGTAAGGGAAGACAAAGAATAGGTATTTAATTTTCATATTCTCCAAAGTGATTTGTCAGTTTGAGGTAGGCAAAGTGAAGCTACTAATAACAGGCAAATATAGCTTATCTATACAACATCAAGGCACAGACATATTCTTTGTCTGTAATTATGTAATTTCAGAAGAATCACACTCAATGGGTGATTTTAGTTATTTTTAATTTTTATTTTGAGTATCATGTCCCATGAAGAAAATGTATTAAGGCAATATAATTTAGTGGTAAAAGCAGAAATAAGACAGTAAGACACATGTCAGTATCCAGCACATGCTGACTCCTATTGTCACATAGGTCCTATCGCCACTGCCAGTTTACAGCGGGAACTAATACTGAGTAAGAATGAGAAGCTCTGTTTCTAAAGGAACTAAAGTGTACCTTGATTTTTGAAATGGCTGTAGTTTTTCACTTCTCATATATCTTTGTTTTCATACCTATAAATTATCTCAGAGTTGTGAGAATTAACCAGGAAGTGTGTGTGTGTGAAAGAGAGACTAAGAATAGGAACAGTGCCTTGGCACAGGGTAAGGACTCAAATGGTAGTATGTGAATAATGAGTGAGCTAGAAGACTTTAAGATACTTTGTTTTATAGTTTTAGAAATACATGTACCTTTCCCCCTTCCATTTAGTTATAATTAAATCTCTTAATTTTAGGATGCTTTGTTCTTCCTGAAGGATTTCTTCACAAGTCTTTCCACAGAAGTAGAGCTTCTAATGGCTCCAGATCCAGAAGGTATTAAATATGTACAGTTTGAAAAGTTTATATCAAGTACTTGGCTTGGTTATGACTGTTACAAAGCCTTTATGAGAATGTACTTAAAATATTTGGTCTCATTTATATGAATGTGTTCTGTGTTTATTTTTGTTAAATTATGCAAATGTAGTTTATATAAAAGTGGTAATTTAAAAGGTGAAAGTCAATTTTCTCTGTGAGAGTAATTATATTTATTAAATGAAAGGTAGCAAAACAACTTGAGTCTAGATTGATTTGAATATTTGTTCTTAAGAAGCATACCTGATTTTTCAAATGTGTGTGCTGCATTTTCAGTTACAAAGTCTCCAGGAGCTGATGTCACCTGCAGTTTGCCGAGGCATTTAAGCACCTCAGAGGAGCCAAATCTGTTTATTTCTCTCCCTGGGCCAAAGCGACCTCCACCAAATGATAGTGCCAATTCAGTGGAAGTGGTTAACGGGGAGGGAGAGAAAGACTTCTCAGCTGAAGAAGTGTCATTTAGTGATCAGCCCGTTTTTTTTAGGTAAATCACTTAATTTTGATAACAGATGAAGTTATTTTGGAGTTTTGAAGATTTTTCTTTACTGTGTTCATGTGCTGGTAATCATGAGGTTGTATCAGCTTTTCTTTGCATACCACACAATAATCTGGTGTATCTATTCACATGGGGCCCCACCTGACCTGCACCCTCAATCGCACAGTCACCTGGATCAGGACTCATCTCTTCTGCTTCTGTGGCAGGAGGCCCCTTTTTCTCCTGCTTCTTTATTCCTCCTCCTGGCCCTCTCTTCCCACTCACTATCCTGGCTTCTCTGTACCTTGTCAAACATGATATCCTTTTCCTGTACACTTCTCAGCTTTGGCATTCCCCACTTTTCCCTCGTGGGAAGTTTCTGTCTGGTTTTCTCTGCCCACCCTTCCCCAGCACTGTCGTGTCTTTCCTGACCCGGAGCCTCCTGGCTGAGTTGGCAGCTTCAGGAAACCCAGGTCCCTGTGCACTGCTGTCTGCTGTGATGCTGCCTTCTACCTGCTGGCTGGTTGCCCTGTTTCCAGACCCATCCATTCTTCCTTCCTTTCTTTTCCCGGCCTGCTCATGGTGATGGGGATGGAGTCTTAGCTGCTGGAAGGAGAAAGAAGGAAGATCAAAGCCACTGGGATGTGAGGGGCCGTTCGCTCCCTTCCCTGGTTTTCTGTACTCCCTCCTCCCTGCCCCCCTGCTGACATCACTGGTCCTCCAGTTCTCTTTCCCTCTAAGTTATAAGGTCAGTCTTTAGGTATTGCCCAAAGCGGGCAGTATAACTGTTTTAAAGGGTCCACATGTTTAAGTATCTTGTGTACTGAAGAAATAGAAAATAACCAGAATATGAGAATTGGAAAGATACTGGGATAGATGATCTCTGGTGCTTCTAGACCTCTCCACCATAAAAAGAACGTCTTATTATTTTCCCACATTGATCTTTTTATTTTTAAAAACTTTTTATGCCAAAGAATTATGCATCCTAGGTAATAATTTGAGTTCTCACTTTATAAAAATTACACAAAAACTACCAATTTGTTTCTTATAAACACCGTATAACCAGTATAAAAGATATTGAATAGTTAACAATTCTGTCCCGAAAGCAAGGAATTTTACACTTTTTAGTCAGCATGTGTAGCCTTACTTAGGTAAATATTTACTTTTTTCAATGGACTATTTAAAATAGCATATAAATTTCTGTTTCTACTCTCAGAAGCTCCTACAGGATACAGGATCCTGGGGTGGTGATCAGTGAGATTGTCCAGATTACTCACTTTATAGGTGAGGAAGTGAATGCCCAGAGAAGTGACTTGTCTTGCTCAAGACCACACAGTCAGTTGCTGAGCCAGGACTCAAACCAGGTCTTATTGCAGATCCAGCATTTTCCGAGTGATAGCCTAATAGCCTCACCCACTCCCATTTATTCACTCCACAAATATTTATGGAGCACATACTATGCACATGCTAGGTTTTGTTCTAGGTACAGTGAACAGGAGAGAAAATACCCTATAAGGTTACAGTTAATTAAAATAGTGATTTGTCCTATCACGTGTCATGGAGAAAAGAAAGAATGAAAAAGGAAGATGCAGGTGCTGAGGGCTGTTGCCCAGAGAGGCAAATGGAGATGAGTTTTTGAAAGATGAGGGATGACCTGGGGCCCCAGGCTTCTTGTAGTGATTCACATAGATACAGCTTTACAATTTTGCTGTAGTTAGTGGACTTCTGTGGGATAGTTTAGGATATAATCACAGACATTAATTCTGTAGGAAAAAGTGTTTCAAGTTCCAATTTGGAAGCCAGCACTTTTTGTTTGATCTGTACTATCAGTGTGTAGTAATGATTGCATTAGACAGTTTTCAGTATTTGTGTGTTGATATCCTATGTTTAAGCATTAATTTGAAGAATGCTCAATGTTCTTAGGGTGTATGGCGTTTGTAAAATCTACTGACAAAGACATTTAGGTTCAGAGGGTTCAGGTTATTTGCCCATGATTGCATCCATATTAACTGACAAAATTGGAATTCCATGTCTAGGTTTTCTGGCTCTCGCTGCTGCTTCATGACTAATATACTTTACCTCTTTTCTTTCCAATTATTGGCAGTGATTGTAATTTTTGGCCCAATCTTGAAGCATGCTTTTATTTGTTCTCTGTTTGAATTGAGAATATCTGACAGAATAAATCTTTCTAAGATAAACATTATATAATAAGCTAGGTAAAGGTTTTTGTGAGAAAATTTCAATAATAGTAAATACAGTTTCTGGGATGACAAACATCGATTTAGTTGTTATACTGCCCTAAGAAAAGGTAGAGCTAAAAGACACTTTTTATTTAGGTATTGAAATAGTCATTATTTATTCCATGGTTTTACTTTATTCTCCAGTTAAATAAGCTAATTTATATCTAATTTTAGTTACTCGTTACTTTGCAATAAATGACTACCCTCCTTTCTTTATCTTCAGAGAGTTTAGATTCACATCAGAAGTTCCTATTCGACTTGATTATCATGGCAAACACGTATCAATGGATCAGGTTTGGAAACTTTGTATTAAATATACTCTACAAAATTATCTCATTTCTTTTTCTCATGGGCTCAGTTTTTTAAAAACTTTTTTTAGTTTTTATATATGTTTGAAATGAAGTGCAAGATTTTAAGATTTAATTCCATTTTTAAAGTAAAGTAAATATCTTCTTAAGAACCTATGACTACAGTTTGATATAAATTGGGTCATAAATATTGTAAAATACATATTTTTTTTTTTTGCTGTAAATACTTTTAAGTGTTTTAGCTTCATTAGTGAATATTGCTTTGATTTTCCCAAATAGCAACTATTTTAAATGTTGAATCTCTCAAGTCACAGATTAATCTGGTCTTTTTTTAATTTCAAAGGGTACCTTAGCTGGCATTTTGATTGGTCTGGCCCAGCTAAACTGCTCTGAACTAAAGCTGAAGAGGCTTTTTTATCGGCATGGGTAAGACTTTCTATAGGAGGCTTTCAGGTGTAGTTACTGCAGATGGTTTACAACAAATTAAAAGCTGAGTGTTCTTAGCAAGCATACAAAATTTGTTTTAGGGTGTTATCTACAGAAAGTTAATTTTTAGAGGCTCCTTACTGATTAGGGGTTAATTTTTATTCTGAGATACCAGAAGTACAAAGTTTGAACCAAGTAGTATTTCTCAAAAATAGCTATAGTTACAACATTTTTTTGTAACTTCCTAAGGTTACAATTCATTTTATTTAGTGAAAAGACTGGAAGTCTGTGTGGTAATGTTCATAGTAGCCAAGAACTATGTGGCAATTTATGGACATTGAGTTAATCCTAGATGAGAGCTTTAGTAGTTAAGAAATGAGAAGAGTGGGAAACATATATACATACTATCAGAGCCTTGTGAGAATTACTGACATTACCACTGGATTGTGTATGTATGTGTACATATAGATGTGTTTTATTCAGATTGAACATCTACAATACTCTGTCCTTGTAATTTATAACTTTTGTTTTAAGTAAAAAAAATCCCCCAAACTTATTTCCACCTATGAATTTCTTTCTTTCCTATATACTAATAGTCTTTTACTCTAGTTTGTTAGGTGTTGACAAATTATTCTCATATGCAATCACCGAATGGCTTACTGACATTAAGAAGAACCAGCTACCTGGAATCCTGGGAGGTGTTGGGCCTATGCATTCACTAGTACAATTAGGTGAGTTTTCTTTTTTAATCAAAAAATCATTTTTTTTTTGCCTGATCAGTGATCATTAACCCTTTTGGGGTTCAGGATTTCTTTGAGCATCTACGTGAGGACCATCTTTCTAGAACACCTACATGTGCAGTCATCCTACAATCCAAGTCTGCCTCTCTTTTCAGGGGTTAAAAACGCCAGGCTTAGTTACAGTGAGAGCGGGGATCTGAGCTCTAGCACTCCTGCTGATCGCTGTGCCCTTGACTGTTGTAGTGCAAGGCCTGAAGGACTTGGTCTGGCTACCCATAGAGCAGTACCGGAAGGATGGCCGCATCGTCAGAGGATTTCAGAGAGGCGCCGCCTCCTTCGGCACCTCAACGGCGATGGCCGCTCTAGAGCTCACCAACAGGATGGTTCAAACCATACAGGTATATTTCCGTACCCTGCCTTCATCTGTACAAAGAGGAAGAGCCATTGGAAAACAATTTGGTTATTTTGTTTTTTAAATGGTACTGTGGAAAAATACCAAATGTTGAGAATAGATTTTTTATTTGTAATAATTCAATAAGCATGTTTTTTTTTTATTGCTTAGCCATCCAGTGTTAAGTAGTACAGTAAAGCATGGGCTACAGTGCCAAATTCGTTTGCCTATTTTCCATAAATCATAACCGTTAAGCTGTGGATTTATTTCACCATAATTACATGAACAGATCACAATGTAAAGAAAGCATGGTAGGCCAAACAAAGTAGAGGTTTGTTCCACTCAGTATCAAGTTCCAGTTGGCTATTGGTTGTTTGTAGACTGCATTGTTGTCTAACCTGGAAGATGAAAAATGTTCTCAGAGGGGGCACTAAATCAGGTCAATCCAGATGTTAGTTTTGACTCTACAGTTTAGTGTTCTTGTTAGAGAAGTGATAAATTCTTCTTGTACAGAGCTCACACACTGCCGAAGTGCCTGTGTTCGGTGCGGGAGCTCCTCTGGTCTTCCTTACTCCCAGAGGAAGTGTGCATAATGCTCCAGACTTTGTTCTGACTCATTTCTTACTTTCTGGCAAAATGATCCAGGCAGCAGCAGAGACTGCTTATGACATGGTGTCTCCTGGTACCCTTTCTGTGGAGCCCAAGAAGATGAAAAGATTTCCCCATCACCGGTTAGCCCACCAGCCAGTAGACCTGAGGGAAGGGATGGCCAAGGCCTACAGTGTTGTGAAAGAGGTAAGTGAGGACTTGTGTGGACCAGCCAGGGCCCACTGGCGTGTTGCCTGGCTCTCACGGTGGTTGGGCTTTTCCCGAAGAACTCTGGGAGGGGGTTTGGGGCTGCTACCGACAGCGAGTGCCGATGTCTGCATAAGGCAAGAGAATAGGCTGCGCTGGGGCCCCGAAGGCTCACGAGAAGAGAAGTGGCCTGGTGGGTGACAGGTTCCGTTACAGGAGCAAGCAGGGAATGATGGAAGTGACTCCATGTGCTCACCAGCTGGACTCAACACATTTGTACTTTGTTTTATTTATCTCAGATTTGTATAAAAAAATACAGATTTTAAGGGGAATCACTGACCTGATCCCATTCCCATGACTTCAGTATCCTGAAGATGATACATATTTTTCCTGTACATGTTTTTAGTTTTATTAGATAAGTATATGCATTCGTAAGCAAAACATACTATTTATATTTTAAGCTAACATAAATGGTATCATGTTACATGTGTCATTCTGTAATTTGTGTCTTTCAAGATCTATTTGTGTTGATTTATGTAGATCTATTTTAAACTGTTTCATAGTATTTCATTGTATGAATATAGCATAATTTATTTATTTCCTTGTAGGTGGACAGTTTCCATTTCTCCCACTAAAACACTGCTATAGGGATGTTCCTACAAATGTTCCTTTGTTCACAGGTGCATGAAGTTAAAGGTGGAATTGGTGATTTGTAACTATTTAACTCTGACCTTTATGAAGCATTGCCAACTCACAGTTTACTTGCAGCAGTGAAACTGGTCCTTTATGCGTGTTGGCAGGGGCATTCCCTGTCTTAATCTTTTTTGATGTTGTTTTTATATGACATGAAGTTTGAGGTTGTTTAACTTATGGTTGGTGTATTACGATTTCATTAAAGGCATTTTTCCCCATCATATTCTGACAGGCAAAAGTGCTGTGCACAGTCTTTTACCTGATGAAAGTAGCCTCTGTGGTCCCAAGAGGGGGAGACCACTGAGGCAGCGCTTGTAAGGAATGTATTAGTGGGTAAATAAAAACAAGACCACTGGGCCTCTTTCTAAAAAAGAGATGTAGTTGAGAGAATGAAGAGAGGTAATTGCCAGTCTCCCTGTTGCTCTTGATGTCAGGAGTGGACCCGTTATCAGTAGGCATTTTAGATATCAGGTTTGTAAAAGTGACCTTGGGGTTCAGGGTGTAGCAGGGGCAGTTGACAGCAGGATGTAACAACACTTGGCTGTGTAGCACTTTCCAATTCACAAACTGCCTACCTGATTTGACCTGTATTCCTGTCAAAGGAAGTGTTGTGTGCTTGCTTTGTGCTCAGAGTATGGTGACCCGTAAAGGTAGGTTGTATTCCTACTGCTAGTGAGGGAACGCTCTGCAGGAGTGACTTCCCCGGTGTTCCCTGGCCAGTCAGCAGTGGGGCTGAGTGTGGAGCCTGGGTACTTGGGTTTATGTTTGCTTCTCTTTCTCTAAAACTGTCAAAATGAGAATGAAGGAGGGGAGGGTGAAAACACTCAGTGTGGATTGAGGTGGTAGGTTGCTTGATGAGACTGAATCTGAATAGTAAAAGCATTTTAAATAGAGCTTCCGACATGGTGATAAATACTTCTTTTTCCCTCCATGTTACTAACTCGGAGTTGGGAGGGCTGACATCGCACGTGTGTCACAGATGGGCTCATTGGTTGGGCCAGAGATTGGCAGACTGTAGCTGAGAGTCAGACCTGGCCATGCCTGTTTTTGTCTGATGCCTCTAGCTACGGATGACTTACAATTCCAAAGGAGTGTAAAAAGAAAAGTAGAGGACAGAGGCTGTTGCCACCAAGCATTCACCTTCTGGCCCTTTTTGGAGAGTTTGCCAACCCCTGCTTTATTTAATCCCATCCTGTGATAGCCAGCTAGTTGTGGTGCAGGTAGTAGTTGCTTAGGAATTATTTAATGAGCACTTCATATCTCTGAGCTGTGCCGAGCTCATAGGAGCATCATTGCATTTAACTCTGACATGGTCCCAGGACAGTTCCCTAAGCAAAGGGCGGGTCTGGGGTCACACAGCTAACTGATGGGGCTGAGGTTTGAATTTACCTCTGTTGTCTCCTGACTTGGTGGTGTTAATCACTGTAATAAACTGCTACCTGTTTGTTATTTGTGGGTTAGGGAGCCCAGCTGGAGGAGGAGAGACGAAGATGATGTGGGCAGATGTATAAACTGTGAGCATTTTCTTCATTGTATGCACAGTTTCACTCAATTGGATATTGTCTTGTTTCAAAAATAGCACCTCTTTTTTTTTTAGTTCTTAAGTACTGCATTTCCTCCCTACTGTGATTTTTCGTGATTTTGCCTGCTGTGCAGGGTAGTAATGATACTCTTGTTAACACCTTGTCAAAGTGATGGCTAGGTTCTGGGTTAGGACAAGGTCCCCTGATTTCCCTAGGGAGCCAGAAGTTACTTTGTGCTGTGCCCTTCACTGAGACTGTCACAGTGGACAGTGCCCATGTCCCCTAAGGGATTTCTGAGGTTAGACAGGTGGTGGAGATTCACAAGTCACATGTAAAGTTTTACCACTTTGGTTTGACAAACACATTTTTATATTCAGCTTTATAAAGTTTAGCAATCACGAGTATTTTAATGTTACACAGTTATAAGAAAGATAAAAAATGCTACAGAAGCTTTGTTTCTCATTATTAAATGTGTTCCTACTGTATGTTCTCAGAATTTTCTCTATTTAATCCAATAAAATATTCTCTTTAGCCTTTTGTCTAAATTGAATGTTCTGTAGTTATCTTCTCTACTACACAGCTATTTTTTTTTATTAAGGTATCATTGATATACAATCTTATGAAGGTTTTACATGAGCAACATTGTGGTTTCAACATTCACCCATATTATCAAGTCCCCCCTCCACACCCCATTGCAGTCATTATCCATTTGCTATAATATAGTAAGATAGCTATATATGTAATAAGATGCTATGGAGTCATTACTTGTCTTCTCTATGCTGTATTGCCTTCCCCATGACCTAACTATATTGTGTGTGCTAATTATAATGCCCCTTAATCCCCTTCTCCCTCCCTCCCCACCCACCTCCCACCCCTCCCCTTTGGTAACCGCTAGTCCCTCCTTGGAGTCTGTGAGTCTGCTGCTGTTTTGTTCCTTCAGTTTAGCTTTATTATACTCCACAAATGAGGGAAATCATTTGGTACTTGTCTTTCTCTGCCTGGCTTATTTCACTGAGCATAATACCCTCTAGTTCCATCCATGTTGTTATAAATGGTAGGATTTGTTTTCTACTTATGGCTGAATAGTATTCCATTGTGTATATGTACCACATCTTCTTTATCTGTTCATCTACTGATGGATACTTAGGTTGTTTCCATATCTTGGCTATTGTAAATAGTGCCACGATAAACATAGGGGTGCATATATCTTTTTGAATCTGTGATCTTGTTTTCCTCAGGTAAATTCCTAGGAGTGGAGCTAATGGATCAAATGGTATTTCTATTTTTAGTTTTTTGAGGAACCTCCATATTGCTCTCCACAATGGTTGAACTAATTTACATTCCCACCAGCAGTGTAGGAGGGCTCCCCTTCCTCCACATCCTTGCCAGCATTTGTTGTACCTAGTCTTTTGGATGCTGGCCATCCTAACTGGTGTGAGGTAATATCTCATTGTGGTTTTAATTTGCATTTCCCTGGTGATTAGCCTTGTGGAGCATCTTTTCATGTACCTATTGGCCATCTGAATTTCTTCTTTGGAGAAGTGTCTGTTCAGATCCTCCCCCCATATTTAAATTGGGTTATTTGCTTTTTAGGTGTTGAGGCACGTGAGCTCTTTATATATTTTGGATGTTCACCCCTTATTGCATATGTCATTTATGAATATATTCTCCCGTACTGTAGGATGTCTTTTCTGCTGGTGATGTCTTTTGCTGTACAGAAGTTTTTTAGTTTGATGTAGTCCCATTTGTTCATTTTTGCTTTTGTTTCCCTTGCATGAGGAGATCTGTTCAGGAAAAAACTGCTCATGTTTATATTCACAAGATTTTGCTTATATTTTCTTCTGAGAGTTTTATGGTTTCATGACTTACATTCAGGTTTTTTATCCATTTTGAGTTTACTTTTGTACATGGTGTTAGACAGTAATCCAGTTTCATTCTCTTACAGCTGTCCAGTTTTGCCAACACCTGTTGTTGAAGAGGCTATCATTTCCTCATTCTGTAACCATGGCTCCTTTATCATATATTAATTGGCCATATATGTGTGGGTTTATATCTGGGCTCTCTATTCTGTTCCATGGGTCTATGGGTCTGTTCTTGTGCTAGTACTAAATTGTTTTGATTACTGTGGCTTTGTAGTAGACCTTGAAGTTGGGGAGTGTAATCCCCCCAGCTTTTTTCTTCCCTCTCTGGATTGCTTTGGCTATTTGGGGTCTTCTGTGGTTCCATATGAATTTTAGAACTATTTGTTCCAGTTCGTTGAAGAATGCTGTTGGTATTTTAATAGGGATTGCATTGAATCTGTAGATTGCTTTAGGCAGGATGGCCATTTTAACAATATTAATTCTTCCTGCCGAAGAGCATGGAATGAATTTCCATTTATTAGTATCCTCTTTAATTTCTCTTAGGAGTGTCTTGTAGTTTTCAGAGTATAGGTCTTTCACTTCCTTGGTTAGGTATATTCCTAGGTATTTTATTCTTTTTGATGCAATTGTGAATGGAATTGTTTTCCTGATTTCTCTTTCTGTAGTTCATTGTTAGTGTATAGGAATGCAACAAATTTCTGTGTATTAATTTTGTATCCTGCTACTTTGCTGAATTCAGATATTAGTTGTAGTAGTTTTGGAGTGGATTCTTTAGGGTTTTTTATGTACAATATCCCGTAATCTGCAAACAGTGACAGTTTAACCTCTTCCTTACCAATCTGGACACCTTTTATTTCTTTGTGTTATCTGATTGCTGTGGCTAGGACCTCCAGTACTATGCTGAATGAAAGTGGTGAGAGTGGGCCTTCTTGTCACGTTCCTGATCTTAGAGGAAAAGCTTTCAGCTTTTCACTGTTAAATATGATGTTGGCTGTGGGTTTGGTAGTACACAGCCATTTAAGACAAATAATTTTCTGGAGCATAGTAGAATTAGTTTTTCTTGTTACAGTTGAATCAGAGGAACTATTACCGTATTCCTTTAGTGACTGTATTTATTCCAGAAGCTTTGTTTGCTAAGTTTGATTTAACTAGAGTGATTAATACTGCCAGAAAAGCTGCTCTTGGTCATTAAATATTTCTGTAAATTTCCCTAGTGAAATTGTAGTTCAGTTACATTTCCCACGCATGAGTGTCACAACAAAATACTATATCATCATAATTGCTTCTTAGTTTCCCTTATAATTTTGTCATAAAAATCAACCCATGGGTTATCTCAAAAGCACAGGTTGGTTTGTTTTTTGCCTGTTTACATTGTTGATGAACTCTACTAAAAGTTTGTATTAATGGTAATTTAGAGAGCTTTCTGAGCAGTAATTTACCCCCTTCTCTCTGCTGTCCACTTTCAGGGAATTACAGACACAGCCCAGACCATTTATGAAACGGCAGCTCGAGAGCATGAGAGCAGAGGGGTCACAGGGGCTGTGGGCGAAGTCCTGCGCCAGATACCTCCAGCGGTGGTGAGACCTCTGATCGTCGCCACAGAAGCAACATCAAATGTGTTAGGTGGCATGAGAAACCAAATCAGACCAGACGTTCGGCAAGACGAATCCCAGAAGTGGCGCCATGGGGAAGACTGATACCTAAGACATGCTTCTTTATGAAGATAATGACGATGGAAATGAGGAGCCGAGTGTTGCTGTCAGGGTCAGAGGGAACTCATTTAATTTTATTGTGCTCATCTCAGGAACAAAAGCATTTCTTAGTTAAATAATTTAATGTCAAAACAACATACAATCAAAAACTCGTGGTGTTTTAGGGCTAGTTTGGTACTTGCCTATAGAAGCATTTGGTAGCTAGTGTCAAAAGTCCCTAAAGCATCTGCTGCCAGGTTAGTGGAATGCTTGCGCTTACTGAAGTGGTGTAATTCTTGTTACAGACCAGGTACATTGGAAACCTTTCACAGCGCAGAGTGCTTAAAACCATTGGAGTACGTTGGAAGCACTACTTACATTGCTCCAAGAGTTGATGTTTTCTCAAGGCTTAAAAAAGAATCACAGCTTCGAAATGTTCATTGAGAATGAGAGACAGAAGCCACAGGGAAAGCAAAGCAAATGGGATTTTCAACATAAATATCACTGAGGAGTAAATAACCTATTCTCTTGGATTTAGAATTCATCCACTCGAGAACATTATTTTCATTTCCTCAGAAAGTCTGTCTGTGGGAGTTGAGAGCGTGAATGTCGCAGATGTGTTCTGTTGTGTTGCACTTTATCGTGTGTGTGTGTGTCTGTGTTTTAGATTAATACAAGTCATGTGCTATATTCTTTATGTAATTTACAGAGTTACACAAAATACCGAGTGGAGTAAGAGTGAAAGTTTTTGGCAAAGGAAGGTAACTCCCAAATGGAACAACCCCATTTATCTTAAGTGTAAATGAAAGTGTGCATTCTATCATGAGCTGGGGCCCATGTAATTGTTTATATGTTCAGTTTTAAGCAGGTGTACTGCAGGCTTGTTAGGTATGTGTGGAAAGGGAGATTGGAACTTTTTTTTTCTGTTTTAAAATTAACCAAAAATCCTCCAAATATAGCCTAGTCAGCTATTTCGAAGTACCATTTTTACTTGGTTAACAATGTACATTTTGATAACCTGTCAGGAACAAATAAAGTCTTCTTATTTAAGGTAAAATTGTTCTATGCTTCCATGAATATTTTGCTTTTCTTGGGGCATATTCATAGATGCAGTACTGTGGTTTATCTGAGCCAATTGGGAACACTTTCTCAAACTGATTTTGGTTAATATCAAGTAGATCATTACCTAGGAGTGGGGGTAGAGGAAATTGTTCTCAGGACCCCCATCTCTGACTTCATATTAATCTGGCAGAAAGGAAATGCAGGACTTGGTGTTCATGTGCTATTTAAAGTCGCATGATATGAGTTCTCATTTTCTAAAGTTGGGGGAATGCATTTGAGGTGAAATTGGATGTCAGAACTACATTTCAGTTTGGGGTCTGGAAAAGGATGTTGGACCCATTTCATTCTCTAAATTTTCTAAACAAGAAGCAATGTAAATAAAAAATCCTAATATTTAAAATCATAAAAATTGTGTTAAATAGCATTTAATTTAATTTTAATTTTGTTTCTTTTTACTGCTGCAAAACTTAAAAACGGAATGCCCAGGGCAACCACCTGTTTAAGCATCACGGAATCACTTGTTAGTCTGTGCTAGTTAAACGGAGTCCGTGGAGAACATGGTCCAGAGTAAACACTAGGCATGCCTGGCGATCATCCCGAAGGCTCTGCCTGCCTGGGGCGCATCCCACTGCCCTGCACACTGTCCCCAGTGTGTCCATTTTTCCCTTACAGTGGGACATAACAATGCCTGTTATCTGTGATGATTCGTCAAACTGAGTACCACTTGATCAAACTTAAAAATATAAAATCTCTCATTTTTAAATATATTTTCCATAGTTATAATGATTATTTAAGTTTATTTAGATATAGGGAGAAATTATCATTCTCTTCTTTGTGCTCTTGAGTTGCAAATGGATCTGTCTTTTGACAAATCAGATTTATCAGTTCTCTTTCAGCCTTTATCTCTGTAATGTAATCTCCGTGGTTCTTTCTCTGTCCTCTACCTGCTAGTGAAACAAGGTTTGGGAACAGAAACCTGTGTCTCTGAAAGTTTCTTGGTCAAAGTTCTATTCATTGTCAGTTTAACTAAGATGATCTTGAGATGTTTATGTAGAGGACCTATCTATATTTAAACACTTCTTCGTTAAGTGTCCTCAGTTTTGTTTTCTGTTTTTAGGTGTCTTTTCAAACTTTTATGTCACAGTGACACAGTAGAAAGAGGGTTGGGGAGGATCCTTGGGTTGCAAGATCTACGACTTACCAAGCAGATGGCTTGGTCAAGACACTGAATTTCTCTAAGCCTTAGTGCCCCTCTCTATAAATGAAGGCATTTCTTATGGCAAAGCCCAACAGAGATTTCAGATGATTAGGCGACGTGTATGAGTGTGTGAACAATGGTGTGGGTTGTAATGCTCAGTAGAGTGCCCTGGACCTGTGGCACTTCTGGCTGGTGGCGTTGTTGAATGAGAGCATTCTGGTCACATCACACACAGAGTGGCCAGGGGTGCCTTTAGATCTCGGCTCAGTAGAGTGATGTGTTTCTGAATGGTCACAGTGCCTGCATGGGTGACTTTGATGTGGCCCTTCTACATGGAGGGGGCTGTGTAGGCATCTCCCCAAGGAGTCCAGGTAAGCCAGCCTGATCAGGATCCTTCAGAGAATCTCAGAACCCCACAGTGTTCAGAGCACATTAAGACCACCTTCCATTGTAAAGGCAGTGGAGGTGGAGGCGATATCTTCTCTTGAATGGGGACCGATTTGGACTCCCCGTTTTCCCTTCCTGTCTGTTCCCAGATTGCTATAATTTACAGGCAGAACGTCCACTCAACATTTGCTTTTAGGATAGATGTAAGACCATGTTTCTTCTAGACATCATCGCATTAGATTTTGACATTAATAAAATTTGGGTCCATTTTGGATTCCCACTCACATGCATATATTTTTGTAATGTAAACTCAGTTTAAGAAAAAAGTCTTAACCAAGTAGCAAAATGGCAAAAATTAAAAACCAGTGTTTCCTGCCCCCTGCTGTCACTTTTAAATGCCATCAAGATATTTCTAGCTTTTAAGGGAATTGCTTTTTAACCATCTCCTTTAAAAACTGTTCTGTAGGTTTGCTGCCTTTGTTCAGTTTCAAAACAGCCCAAACAGCGTTGTCTGCTCTGGCACGGCCCACTCGTCCCCAGGTGGTGCCTCTGGAGTGTCATTCGGTTCAGGTTCTTCGCACGGTGTGTACGCTTAGCAGAGGAGAGACTGCAGGCAGAGTTGAATGTGAGCGATTTTGAGTGAGAAATCCACACTTGCACTAAATGGCTTCAGGATTAACACTTGTCTTGACATTAAATTGTGTATGTGCAAAAAGTTGTGCGACTTAAGAGAAATCATTTAACTGCTTCACTTTTCTTTTACCTGCATTGGATATAATTCGTCAGAATTACCAGGTATATGGCAGAGCTAGTGTTCTATGTTGAGGAATTTTATTCCCTGTCTCCCCTCCCATCTTCTTGACCTACCTAGACATCAGAGGGAATGTCCAGAAAGTCCTTTAAGCTGCTTCAAAGTAAGGTCTATGCAAACACAGGGTGGTATTCTTTTGTTATCTGTAAATGCATCAACTGGACATGCTTATTCAAACAGAGTAAGTCAAATATTAATTTGAGTCATAGGTTAGAGGGAAGGTTATTTGTATGGTGTATAGATAAGGGGGAGAAAAAGATTTTTTTTTTCCATTACCAAGAAATTTTATTCCTGTTTACTGGAAGATATAGTCAGTCTTTTCATATGAGAATAATTGAGTCCTTTAATGCCAATTTATTTTTACCTCAATATTTTCAGGACCATGCTAGCCACACTGCTCCCGTTAATAGACTTTAGATGTGTAGTTGCCAGTCAGCCAGTTAATCGCATTTGCCTTTCATCACAGTGTCTGTAAATCAGAGACAGAAAAGGCGTTCTAACACACCACCGTGATAGGCTTGTTTAGGGATGAGGAATTTGAGTTCCCAAAACTCATATTTTGAAATGTCAGCAATTTAAAAAGTATAGGGTGTTAGAGATCTATTTTCACCTCCTATAACTGTCAGCACCTCGATTTTGAGCATGCTGCTTTATAGTAAGTACCAGAGTGCTATGTTGTATATCAAAGGATTGTGAATAGCTGACTCAATAACATCTCTACTGTGTGGGGTAGTTGAAATAGCAGCCCCTCCTTTAAAACATGTTTACTTTGCTGTTTCACATGTATTTCATATATATAAAATGGCAGCTTCCAATTTCTAGTTGAATTTGTCTTACATTGTATAACTTGCTGGTCACACAGGACTATTTTGCTTTTTTACTGAGAAATTTGGTAGGGGCAGAAGTTCATTTCTTTTGGTAATCCAGCCTGACTTATTTTAGACATTGAATTTATCTCACCACAGTATTGCATACATTGACTATCATTGCTAATTTTCCTATTAAGGTGATTATGGCTGTGAATACTTCAAGAATACTAATGATGTCTGAATATTTTTATGAAAATGTAACTTGTTAGTGTGGCTATTTAAAATATGAAATTAAGAATATCTTGAAAAAAATTAAAATATTTACTCTTTGGAGTTTGCGTGAAATCGTATTTTGTCTTTCACCAAGAACTGTTCCTAAAGCCCATATAAAACACTTTTTGGGGTGGGGAGAAGGTCCGCGTCAGATCCTGCTATTGGGAAATGGTGTTCTGATGACCTTGGTACTTCTGATAGCAAATCTTGTTCTGAAATACATGGGGCATGTAATGTTAAAATCTGCTACTCCCCCCTTTTGGATATTAATCACTATATTAGTTATGCCCATGTGTAGACTTGTGGCCAGTACATCTTGTAGTTTTGGTCTTAGGGGCCTGGATAAATACTTGATAAATCTATGTGAGGAATATTCTATAAGAGGAATACTTAAAAGAAATACTTATTTTTAAAAAGCAATACTTCAAAAGAAGTTTTGATGTGACAGATGTCACCAACATCCACTTGAGCAATGAGGCAAAAACCACACATGGTTCTTGTGAAAGAGAAGGAAGGGAAACTTGTGAGATGTTCGTTGTGTGCCCGCTATTGTCACATGTTATCTACACAGCCTCATGGCCCCTCTGGGAGGCAGGTAGTTTCTGGTTTCCAGAGGAGGAGACTGAGGTTCAGAGAGGTCAGGAAACTTGCTTAAGGTCACGTGACTTGACACCCAAATCCCATGCTCACTCTAGGACATCATTTAAGGGGAACTTGTAAAGTCTTACTGAAAACTCTACTCTCCATGAGGGCAAGCTAAGTATATACATGGAAGCTAAGAAAGGAGTTCTGCCAGAAGACAGAGGTGAACGGCTCCCAGAAGACTTGAGCCTGAGGTAAGATAAGGATCAGCTTGCTTGTTCACCCCTTCACCTGCATCTCCAGCCCCTCCTCTGTGTCCCGGCTGGGTACCAACTGCTCTAATCCTTCAGTTCAGCCACATCCCTCTAAGCAGGAGTTAGAGCCACCTGGAGAATTTTCTTTTTAAATGCTAAAGCTCAGGCCCACCCAACACCAGTTAAAATCTTGGAATGGGACTAAGTCAGTGTCTCCACTTCCGCGATCTTTGAGCTGATAATCCTTTATTGTGGGAATCTGTCCTGTGCATTGTAATGTTTAGCAGCATCCTTGGCCTTGTTCAATAGCTGCAAGTAGCACCCCTTCCCAACTGTAAAAACCAAAAATGTTTTCAGATATGGCCTAATGTCTCCTGGGCAGAAAAATCCCCCTGTTGCAAATCACTGGGCTCAAAGCCCCCCTGGTAAAAACAATGTGCAGTCTGGAGTGAGAACAGTGTCTTAAGTGCCTTCCCACATTCCTTTCTAGAATGTTCTGCCTGGTTCCTCCTTTTCTCAGCTTAAAGGCTACCATTTTCAGGCCCAGCCACTCTCTCTCTCTATTTATTTATTCTCCATTACAACACACATTCCTTAAAACAAACCTTTGTGGCCCTTGTCTAGTTTTATAAATCCACATTCATTTACTGCCCTATTTATTGTCTGATGCCCTCTGTGAGGGTGGGGTCCATATGTACATGATGGCTGGCAATGGCCCTGTGCAGAATTAAGGCATCAGACTGGTGAATAAGAAGGAATAAATATATGTACATATAAAATAAAAACACTTGCTCGGTATTTATTCTGTGACCACTCACATGTGGCATTCACATTCAGCATCAGCCAGGGTCCTGGCAGGAAGCAGATGGCCACAGGCTACCGGGGAGGGTGTAGGGAAGGAACTGACTCGGTGAAGGCAGGCAGGGCGTGAGCGATCCCCCGCACCTTGGGTCCAAAGGGCCCCATGCCTCCTGCACTCCAGCTCTGGGACTGTCCCGGGCTTCGGCCATGTGAGTCAGTGGGGACTTCCTGCCCTTTTTTGGCTGTTCTTGGCAACAGGAACACAATGCTCCTCCTCCATCTCATCTGTCTCACAACATTAAGCCTCCTCACAGGCCTGAGGGGACAGAGAGTGATTCGTGGAACCTGTCTCTGAAGAAGAGGGGCTGCCTCGTGGCAGCTGGGGCCTTAGAGCCAAGTAGCCAGAGGGGCCAGAGGAATAGTCCCCACCCCCAGGCTGCTACACTCCTGGCTGGAGCCTGCTGTGGGCAGAACCACTTCCTGCAGTACCTGAGGCTCAGCCTCTGGCAGGGAGCCCAGGAGAAGCAGGGAGAGGGGCTGGAGGAAATGCAGACAGCGAGCATTTCTATTTGTCCCATTATGTTCATTCTGCAGATGACAAACCAAGCTTAGGGTAAGTGACCTAGCCAGAGTCATGCTATGTCCTAGTTCAGGAGCACTAGTCACAAATGGTAGGTAAACCCCAAATGCCAGCAGAGGTATTTCTCATCCACATTGAGTCCAGCAGGTGCTTCTGAATATCTGGCAGTTCTCCTCAAACGCGTGGAAACCAGACTTCCCACTTGCCCTCTGCCTCTCCTGGAACTTGAGAATCCACTTCCAGGAGAGGAGGAAGGGCGGCTCTGTGCTGGAGACACTGGCTGGCAGAACTCTGGCACGTGGTCACACCTGCCGCAGGCAGCCTTGGGAGGTGGCCTGGCTGTGAGCCCAGGAAGGAAGGAAATGGGCTTTGGTGAGCACCTGGGATGGGAGTCCAGGCGTGCCCGACTCCAGACCCTGCTCTTAGTGCATCCCCTACTGGAGCTACAATTAGTTGCTCTCCAAAATGATTTACCACCACCAGAGTTGGATTTTTTTCTCCCGGGCATTGTTTATATTCCTGAAAGTAGTTCTACATGGAGCAAATACTAAATTCAGCAAACATTTGCTGGGCAGTGAGGTGGGAGAGTATAATGTGGTGGTCCTCAAGGCTCGTCTGCATTTTGGAATCACTGGAGCATCTTTCAAAAATTCCAAAACCCAGGCCAGGCTCAAGACCAATTAAACCTCCTCGGGTATATTTTTGAAGCTCCCCAGGTGATTCTACTGTTCAGACAACTTGGAGCCACCGGTATAGTGGCTAAGAACATAAATTTTGGAGTTAGGCTGCCTGGGGCTGAACCTAGGCTCTGCTAGTTACCTGTGTGACTTTGGGGAAGGTGCTTAACTTCCTATGCTTCAGTTTCTTCTATAAAACAGAGAAAATGATAGGGTTGTGAGGATTACATGAGTTAACATATGCAAGGTGCTTGGAACAGTGTCTGACACATAGTAAGCATTAGATACTATTGCTCCGGTTTCCTGAGCCTGTATGTGCAGTGAGCCAGCTACAGTGAAAGATATGTTCCCTGCTCGTGGGAGCTCAGATCCCAGTGGGAAGACCTCAGACTCTGATAGGAGACACCCTGGACACAGCTAATCTTCCCAGCCATTTTTTCTTCTACCGGGAAATCAATTTGTTTTGCTCCTGAGAAATGGAGGGGCATTTCAGAAAGCTGAGCAAGGGGGCAGACACCATCGAGAGCAGTCTTAGAATTGGAATTCCTGCCTTGGAAGACACCATTGGTTGTCCTCTCTTACAGCCCTTTGGCCATCTGCTTGGCCGGCATTGCACACAGGTCTGGGCCAGCCTTGGGGTTGCTACGGAAGCCAACTCCCTTTTCAGTGTGATGCTCAGAACTGCCTGGTGATGGACAAATTTGACTTGAAGGGTACATCTTAGGTATCATTTGGAAGTAAAACTCAAGGAGGGTGCTGAAGGGGGTCATTTGAGTTTGGTGTTAGCTGAGGAAAACAGACACCACAGCATCCTTAACAGCAAGAATTTCCAAGGCTGTCAGCAGAGGGCAAAATATGCTCTTAAATTTAGATTCCCCTGAGGTAACATGACTGTTCAGGGCAAAGGATTAACTTGGCTACCACAACCCTCACGTGAGCATTTGTCACCCCAGATGGGGCCCAATTATTTTTAGAGCGATGGAGACCTTAGGCTTTAACTCCAAGATACATTCAACATTTGGTGAAAGGTAAGCACAACTCCCTCCCCCAATGAAAAACTATGCTGCTTTGAAATCAGGGTCACGGCTCCAGAATCAGAAATAAGAACTTTCTTTTGTAATAACCACTTCTAAGGCCATTTAAGGATAAAATTTTACCTCTTTCCCCTTTCAGGACATATTATTTTCTGCAAGACCCTCAGTCTTCCAGACCTGATGTCATCTGGGAAGCTGTCTTCAAAACCTTTACGTCCCATTTGCTGGGCTAGAGTTGTAGCCACTCTCCACCCTGAACATTCACCTTGAGCAAGTCACTTACCTGGGCTGCACCTCAGTTTCTCTGTGACTTCCCTTTGGATAATTACTACAACAGGACACTGGGTCACTGATAAATGACACCCATTGAAAATTTGGGTGGCTATCACCAATTGTCCTCTTGTAAAAGTTGTACCTACTGACAAACCCACCAACACAGTTAATCATTAAAAAACATTCTTTGAAAGAAATCTTTAAACAGTGCTGTTCAAGAGAAATCATTGCCTTTACCTATTATTCATGTTTTGTCGTGCCTTCGAACGGACAGGAAGGGCTTTGAAAATTTGTGCAGGATTGTTCCTGGGGAAAGAGAAATCCCCCGGCGGAGCCAGCAGAGGGCGCCCGGTCCCTTCCTGAGCGGCACTTTGGTTTGGCAAACGCCCCCGCTGAGCCCGGCTGGGCAAATTCTGACCCCACGCACCGTGGGAAGGCTTTGGAACAATCCCGACTCTCAACTCTTTAACAAGGCTTGTCTGTGGCAGCTGCCCCTTAGTCGAGGAGACGGCTTGAATTAAAAATAAAAATATCATTTTATTTCGCTATTAATTTCTCCCTGTAAATACTGGACGGGGCGGTAACATACCAGGCTTGTGACAGTAGCCCCCGGGGGAGTTTTCACAACAAGTTGATAAGGGAATTGGGGGGCTTGAGATAACAAGTCTGCTTTAGATTGAGATAAAGATCTTTTGTTATTGTATTTCCTGCGGGGTTATCTAAAGGTGAGTCTGAAACAGAAGCTTGTTTAAGCTTCTCTGCTAGATTTTCATTCCTCTGCCGGAAATGCAACCCCCAGCCCGCTAATATTGCCACTCAGGGCTGCGACTAGGGTGAGGGCGAGGCACACGGAGCAGGGGCACAGCAGCCATCAAGGTGAGTGATAATTGATGCAGTGTGTTTAAAAGAATCCAAATGAATGCAGAAACACCCGTGGTAACACATCCACATTGTGCATAAGGGCGGCTCTGACCCATCTCGCCTGGATGGCTTCACCCTCGACCGGGCCCTGCTGGATCCCGTCTTTACTTAACTTGTTGATCTTTCGTTCATTATGACTGAATCTCATTCTTCCTTCTTTTACTCACCTGCTCCCACTCTCGCCCTGCCCCCCACCCGACATCACAAGGTTGACGGAAGGGAAAACACCATTGAGAGAAGCCACCAGGCCTTGCTGGAGATATTTTTGGTTAAACACCAGGAGGTGATGCCAGAATCAACAATGGAGAATTGCTATAAACTGACGTCACCGTTTGGTCTTGAGGAGAGGCTGCTGTGATGATGCCAGCAGACATTCATTGTATGAGCAAGGATGCCAGGGACGGTCGTGAGTGATGTTACATGTTCAGCTCTTTGATCATCCCGGCTGACATCCGTTGGTCCGCCTGCCCTGCTGCCATCTCTGGGTGTGCCTGCCTCCAAGCCTCCCCGTGCTCATGCTTTCCCACTGCCGTGGCTGCTCCCCGTGCCTTTGTTCGGTTCAGTCCTTCCAGAGTGACATCCCACCACCTCCAGGAAGTCTCCCCAGACCACCAGGCTTTCCTTGAGGTCATTGTTGACAACAACTGGATCAGGTCAGCTCAAATGGGGGGTGGGGATTTTGCTCCCAGAGAACATTTGGTAATATCTCTGGACGGTTTGGTTGTCACTTTGGGGGAGAGTGGTTGCTTCTGGCATTGGCGGTTGAGGCCTAAGAGGCTGCTGCACATCACACCAGGCCCAGGACTCCCCCACCACAGAGAACTGTGTATCTCCAAATGTCCATCAGGCCAAGAAACCCCAAATAAAAACTTATGATGTTACTAAGGCTTTTGTGAAAATTCTCAGGAGTCAGATTTGCATTTCACCGTTGAGCTTCCACATTTTTGTCTCAGGAGTGACAGATGTTTGGAATTTGAGTCGCTTAGAGAAAGGATTAGGCAAAATAGATTAGGAAAATCCTTATTTTCCTGCATGAGTTTGGACCTAAGTGAAGCGGACAGGAGTCAGCAGATGGGAGCTGCTGGGAAACGTTCCGTTGGATGATGTCACGTAGGCGTGTGGCAACAATGGGCTTCTCAGTTCTGAACCCCAGAGTCAGGCCAGCTAACCCATGCAGGCCCAGGCAATACTGACGCTTTTTCCCACTGGGGCAGAGCCTCTATCACCAAGCTTATTCACGGCCAAGGGAAGATCAGAGTCCACCGAGTCTTTCCAAAGAGAGAGAAGGCGGAAGGTAGTCAGCTCTACCAGTTTCTTGTTTTGAAACTGGCCGGTCAGCGCTCTTTTCTTCCATAGAGAGGAGTAAGGGGTGGGCAGGAGCCCCAGAGCATAGGCAGCAATCCCTCCTCACTGGAAGCTGGTTTATCAGTCAGGATGGCCTGGGTTCCGCTGCTGTAACAAACATCCTCCACTTTCTGTGACCTAAGCCAACCAAGGTTCATTTCTCATCCACACTGCATGCTTAATGCAGGTTTATAGGGGGCTCTGCCCTTCTAGTCACTCAGGGCTCCAGGCTGATGGGATCCCCACATCTTAAAGACACCACCATCATGAGACATGCCTTCAGAGTTCGATACAGCAGAGGAAAGAGAGCGTGGAGGACTGTGCCCTTAAATGCTTCTACCTAGAAGTGACACTCAAGTCCCCTCACACTGGCCAAAGGGGTGAGAAGGCCACCCTTAGCCTCAGCAGTGGGAGAAGTCCAATCCCTCATTTCCTAGAACACGGGACAACCAGAGCTGTCACTGAGCAGCAGCTGTGCCTCTCGCGGAAGAGTGGGAAGGATTCCCCGCCCCTCCCACCACCTCCACCGACACTGGGCAAAGCCATCATTCAAGAGACAAGGTGTCTCCAGGAAACATTTTCTAGGGAGCCACTTTACAGGCCAGGGGGCTAGCCAGAGTAGAAGAGCAGGCACCTGATCTAGATCTCACGCTGGTTTTGCCTTAGTTTGGAGAGGCCAGTTTGAGCTGGGTCCTGGCGTACCACCATTATGCCTAATCCATTGGTGGTTTTTAACTCCATCTGAGATTGGCCTTGCATCTGTTGCATCCCAAGGTCTACCTCCTGAAGTGGAGCTGCCAGGTGACCAGCTGCTGATCACAGATGCATGCGTAAGCCCGGCCAAGACCTGTGGAAGAAACACACAGCTGAACCTGGCCCACTGAACGCTGCAGACCCGTGAGCTAAGGTGGTGGTTTTCAATCATTAAGTTATGGGGCAGTTTGTTCTGCAGCAATAGGTAACCAATATGCTCTGTGAGCCATATTCTAGTGGAGTGATTTCTCTAAGATGAAGGTCTGAACATGACCCTCTTGTTTAGAGTCTCTGTCAACTCCTGCGGATGATAGGGAACAGCAACCTCTCAGCCCTGGTGTGATTATTCCAGCCCTTGGTCTCAATGGCTGAGAACTTGAGTGAGACGACAGGAGCGGGTGCTCTGCACGCGGTCACCTGTCTCTCACCCTCCTCCCTCTTGAACTCCCCCTGGGCAGACTCTATCACCCCCAAGCTCACACATCTCACTGAGAAGTGGTCTCTTTTCTGATGTGCCTCCCCTAAGGGCAATAAGCCCCTCCAGGGTAGGGGGGTGGAGGTGTGTGTGCTGTAGATGCATCTGGGAGCCTTGTTGCAACGTCCTACCCAGGGACCCTGTGGCTTTGCGGGGGCACCGCCAGTGGCAGGGAGTGTGCATTATCCCAGTTCTATCGTGGGGCACTCTCGTGCCGCATGTGACGAGACAGCATTCTATCATGGCATAGCTATCACGGGACAGTGCTGAGTAGCAGGGGGAGCTCTTCTTCGAAGTGAGCCAGAATGCGGTTTCTCAGGATTCTCTCTTTGGTCCTGCTGGGGTCACACTAAATACGCTTGCTCCCCTCTCTCCACGAGTCGTCTTTTTCAGGGAAGTCCTCCAAGAGTCTCACTGTGTCACAGCGGGTATGGTTTTGAGACCCTTCACCAATCTGATTCCTTTCTTCTGAGTCAGCCAAGAGCTGGACACAGTACTTCTCGTGTATTCTGTCTAGTGCCAAGCTAAATGGGATATCACCTCCCTCATTTTAGATACTATACTCCTATTAATTTAGCCCAAGAGCTGGCAGCTATTTCAGTAGCCACTGAGCTGCCTGTCAACTGAAACCCTGAAGTGTCTTCACCTCGTACTTGCTGAGCCCTGACCACCCTTTCTGGTACTTTTTGCCTCCTGAAGCTCCTAGAAAATAGATCTGGCTTCCTGCTCCCTGCCTTGAACCCAGCCCAGGCCGTGCCACCATCACAGGAACTCACATGGTGGTATCCCTGGCACCCAGCCCTCTTCTCCGACCTTACGGCCTAGTGGGCATCCCTGGGTCTGCACAGAGCCCTGCCCCAAGAGTCCAGCTCACTGTATAACCTCGGGCAAGTCTCTGCCCACCTCTGCGCCTCAGTTTCCTTACCTGTGAAATGGAGGGGTTGACCTTGATGATATTTTCTTTTTTAAACTTTTTGTTAGATTCACAGAGATCCCTGTACTCTTGACTCAGTGGCAAACATCTTGCGGAAGTATGGTACAATATCACAGCCAGGAAGTTGTTCAGATTTGATTCAGATTGCACCAGTTTGATACACAATCCCGTTGATGATATTTAAAGCCTCTTCTCTAACTCATGAGAAAAAACTTCCCACTTTCTCCTCAAGCCCGTGACTCATTCCCAGAGGACAAGAGCCTCCCTGCATCCATTGCAACACCTGGCAGTGTCCCCAGGCTGGGGTTGGGGAGTGCTCAGTGCTCCCCGTGATGGGTGGGCTGTCGGCTGCAGCAGAGGAAAGAGGTAGGCGGCTACGGACTCACTTGTCAAGCCCAAAGCTACAAGCAGAGTGGAGAAGAAACTCCGGGTCTCTGCTTGGCCCATCTCAGAGAGGAAGTGGGGATCCAAGAGGGCCCTGGAGCCGGGGGTTTTGGGAGCGGCCGGGAGGCTAACTCAGAGGAGCATTGTAATGCCCAGAGCATGGGCATTATTTTCATTTTCTAGCACTTGCCCGAGGTTATGCAGTGAGCTAGACTCTTGGGGGCAGGGCTCTGTTCAGACCCAGGGATGCCCGCTAGGCCGTAAGGTCGGAGAAGAGGGGTGGGTGCCAGGGATACCACCCTGTGAGTCACTGTGATAGTGGCAGGGCCTGGGCTGGGTTCAAGGCAGGGAGCAGGAAGCCAGAGCCCCTGATGCAGACTCACCCCTCTGTGCCGGCTGTTAGCCCTACAAGGTGAGGCCTGGGCCCAGACCCAGGTGTGAAATATCCCAGGAGGGCACATCAACTAGCTCCATGGGAACTCAGCACACTGCTTCCTCCCACAGTACTGATCCTTTTAGCCAAGGCAGGAGGTTCTCCCTCTGCAATGAACACTTGACCTTCCCAGTAGAAGGCAGCAGGGTCCTTACCGTGGGGATTCCCAGTGTCTCTCTCCCCCCGCCGGCTGTTCACGGTGCTTTGGTAAATGTTAAGGGCGCCCCATAAATCAGGTGTCTGGCTTATCAGAGGCCGTGTTGACAATCCACTGCTGAGCTCCAGGCCTCTGACCAGGTTCCAATTTCTCAGGCCAGCGCACTTGTCTAGAATGTGGCATTGTTTTCGCAACCTCTAGAAAGGATTTTTTATAAGCCACAACTTGAATGCAGGGGCTGAGAGAGAGGGAAAGAGGGCATAATCAGGTCAGTTCACTCAGAGTAGAAGAGCGTGGGCATTATTTCCATTTTCTAGCACTTTCTTCCTGCCTTTTCTGGCCAGTTCACTACAAGGCTGTAGCTCACTGGATTCCTGCCTGGGGGGCTCAGAAATTGGGTCAGCATTGGAGGCAAGCATGCCAGGTGACTCCAGCCTCGGCCCCTCAGAGGAGCTGCAGCAGATGAAGGGGGTGCCCTGTGCTGTCAGCAGGCACCCTGCTCCTCAGCGCTGACGGACTGGTGCCCTGGGGGAGCCGTGGGGCGCCGCCTCCTGGAGGTCCCACGCTGCCCCTTGGCTCTCTGTGTCCTCAGCGCCTGCAGCAGCGCCTGGCACGAAGGAGATGCTCCATGACCATCGACAGAATGAGAATGCCCTCTCAGGGTTCCTGGATCTTTCAAATGTTCAAAGGAACCCCCAAATCTGGATTCTTCTGTGGAATTTCAGTATTGGTAACTAACTGAAAAACATTTTCTTTTTTAAACACCAAGTGGTCCAAATTAAACACATGTGCCGGTTGGGTCCTGCTCACTGACCTAAATCTAGGCTGTCTGAACCACCCTCTGCACTACAGGAATCCCACAGGCGCCCTGGCCAAACTGTTTTTACTGATGGCCAGTGAGGGCCTGGTGGCTCCGCCCCTGCCAGTCTCTCAGACCCCATCACCTGGCTCCAGGAACACTGGCCTCCTTTCCGTGCCTGGCATGACACTGGCTCTTTGCCGCTGTCCCACGAGGACTGGCTCTCTCCCCCTTCCCCACCATTCCATGGCGCCTGGCCTCAGCATCTGGCCCACCGGCTGTCTCCTCTCTGGCCTTCCAGCGCCCTGCCTGCCCTCAGGCACCCAGGGCACAGCCCATCCCCCAGCTCTCCATTCCTTGGTGGTCTCGTCACCAAGGACCTTCTCCCTCCTTTTACTCCAGCCACCCAAGGCAATGGCCACACTTGGTCCTTGTCATCTCCTGGGAGATGGAATGTTCTGTGCAGGCATTCTCACTCTGTGGCCACAAGCCCCTATTTTCTTGCTCCACCACCTAGGTGCACCCACCAGCCCTGTTTTTCACTGTATCAGTGTCACACTGCATTTGTTTTCTTCCTTAGTTCAGCCAGTCCCTATAGCTTGGCTGGCACCCAACACCCTGGAACTATGGCCATGCATCTGGCAAAAGCCTAACTCTGGAACAGCCCAGCTGTCTGCTGGTTTGGGGACTGCTGAGCATTTCTAGAGTGAGTCACACAACGCACTGGACAGCCCCCTCAGCCAGGCCCTTGACGTCCCCAGAGAGTGCTCTGCCCTTGACCATCAGTGGTCCTCCCAATGTCTCCGTTCTCCTCAAACCTCAGATCCCTCATGCTGGTCTCATACTTTATCTTTCTTCAGCATTTTCCCTCTTAAGCTGTAAACCCGCTTGCCCGAGCTTGGTTTGTTTCTTCCATCTGAAACATTCCTTTTCCCTGCTTGGCTTGGCCAACTGCTCATTGTTTGGGTTTCAGCTTATATGTCTCTTCTTCCAGGAAGCCCTCCTGAATGCCCAGGCTGGATGCCCCATCCCTGTGCTCTCAGAGCACCTCCTCCTACCTGGTGGCGACAGCTATCCTGCTCTGAGACACTCTCCTAATGTTGTCCCTCTTGCCATGAGCTCCTGGAAGACACTTTTCCCGATTCACCATTGTTCCTGGAAGTGTGCAGGAGCATTGAGTGCCCACACACAATCTTTCACATGTAGGCCATGCTTTTCCACCTGCGTGTTGGTTGTACCTCCAGCAGCCCTCCCTCCCTCTCTCCACGCATCCACATGCCACCCCTGGTAAACCTCAGCGCAGAGGTCACTCCCTTCTCAAGGTCTTTTCTAAAAGCTGGGAGGAATCCTCCCCTTTGCCCCTGAATGCTTGGGGTACTGGGTCTGTGGTATGTTCGTGTGATTTCTCTTGTTTAATACTATAATTATTTAGGTCCATGTAGTTCCTCATGGGTAAGATTGCTAGCTGTGTCATCCCTGTGTTCCTAGCAGTTAGCCTAGGAAATTTCGGATGGGCAAGTGGAAACGCACTTGGCAACCCTACTGAAAACTTGTATGATTTTCCAGTTGCGCTCTAACAAATTACCACAAACTGTGATTTCAAACAACAGAAATTTACTATCCCACAGTCAGTCTCTCTGGGCTAAATCAATATGCCTGAGGGCTGGCTCCTTCTGGAGGCTGAAGAGGAGATTCTGGTTCCCTGCCTCTTCCAGCCTCTAGGGAACACCAGCAATCCTTGGCTCATGGTCCCTTCTGCGAATCACCCCAACCTCATGCTTCTGCTGTCACCTCACCTTCTCTGAACCTGACACTTAGCTTCCCTTTTACAGGACCTTTGTGATTCCACTGGGTGCACCCAGATAATCCAGGATAATCCTCCATCTCAAGATTCTTAGCTTAATCTCATCTGCAAAGTCCTCATTACCACAAAAACATCCACAGTTCCTAGGAACTAGGTCCTGGTCATCTTGGGGGGTCAGGGGTGGGGGGCATTAGTCAGCTAACCACAGTGGTGTTCTTTAGGGCAGAAATAACTGGTAAAGAAGCCATGCTTCTTGACTCATTGCTGTTTTAATTCCGCCAGAAAAGTTGGAGGATTTCTTTCCTATGGGATGAAGACATTGGAGTGAGACTTTTAGGGGTGCACTGTTTATAAAGCTCCCACACCTTGGTCCTGAAGAGCCGGCCCACAAAGACGTAAATGACAGGGTTCAGGCAGCTGTTGATAAAAGCAAAGAAGTTGGCCCACTGCAGGCCCAGGTCTGTGAAATTTTCCCAGAAGCAACTTTGGAAAGCCTGCACCTGCAGCAGGAACTCCAGGAAGGCAAAGATGTGGTAGGGCGCCCAGCAGACCAGGAAGGCAGCCACGAGCGTGAGGATGAGCGCTGTGGTCTTGCTGTCCGGGGGGCCCCTGTGCCCCGTTCTGCTGACCTCCACCCGGCCCCGCAGGGAGGTTAGGATGTGATAGTTGAAGAAGATAATTGCAGCCAGTGGGAGGAGGAAACCCAAAACATTTAACTCCACCATCCTTGCAAAGTGCCAGGCCTCATGCGGGAGCTGCAGCACACAGGCAAAGATGTTCAGTTCCGGGACAGCTTTGATGGAACGAAGCAGGAACGTGGGGATGCTCAGGAGGCCCCCCATGACCCAGATGAGTACGCAGGTGGCCTGCGCCTGCCGCCGTCGCCTCCGCCTCCGGCTGGCCAGGGGGTGAACCAGCACGTAGTAGCGGTCCTGGCTGATGGCCACCACCAGGTAGATGCTGATGAATAAATTGGCCTTGATGACCCCATTGATGACGCGGCAGAGGAGGGCTCCAAAAGGCCAGTTGAACTGGCTCCAGATGTTCTCTGCCCAGAAGGGCAAGCCCAAGACAAACACCAGATCAGAGGCCGCCAGGTTGGCCAGGTAGATTTCTGCCACATTCAGACGCCGCCGGGGCAGGAGGAAGATGGACAGCACAAAAAGGTTTCCCACCAGGCCAAAGATGCAGATGGTGATGATAAATGTCGGTAACACTCTCTGCAGCAGATCCCAGCCTTGCTCAGCATTGTCACAGGCTGTGGCATTTAGAGGCAAGAGCTGGCTCTGGTTGGAGGACTGGAACTCCAGGAGGGTCCGGGATGCCATCCACAGTGACCTGCAATGAACAGCACATAGCATAACACAGGAGGTGGCCAACTACAGCCTATGGGCCAAATCCAGTTTGCCACTGGTTTTGGAAAATAAAGTTTTATTGGCACATGGCCACACCCATTCATTTCCATACTGTCCACATCTGCTTTTGCGTTACAACAGCAGAGTTGAGTGATTGTAACGGAGACCCTGTGGTCTGCAATGTTGAAAATATTTACCTTCTGTACCCTTTGGGGAAAAGTTTGCTGACTCCTGGTGTAATAAAAGAAAAGACCAGGGATCTGAAACGTGAGTCCAAATCCTGGCACAACCCCTTGGTGGGGGCCGCAGAGACCCACTGACTTTCACTTTCCTTTCTGCAAATCAGAGCTAACCTTATTCCTCTTTTGGGGTTGGGGTGAGGATGGGCAGGAGTACCTATGGAGTGTTTGGCATGGTTGCCCGTGTAGAGGAAGTACTCAGCAGAAGGTGGCAATCAGTTTTATTAACAACCATTTTATTGTTAGTCACAATTTAACCAACATTTAATGCTTCATGTCAGCACTTTGTCAGGTGCTGGGGATACCACTCAGCGCCCCCAAACTGCTCACCATCTAGAGGAGGTGCAGACATGGAGACAGGGGTTGATGACCTAAGACAGAATCAAGCAACGGTGAGGAAGATGTACAGCCAGTGGGAATGCTGATCGTCTGGGTCTGGAACCAGTAGGATGGACAGAACCAGGGCTGGGAGGTCGGGAGTGGGGGGAGGGGCAAGTCTGAAGTGTCCAGGACTAGATGGTTCTCCAGGTGGGCTTAAAAAACATGAGTAATAAAGTAATAGCAACTAACATTTATTAAATGGTCTCTATATTCCAGACACTGTTCCAAGACATTTACTTTTAAGTACTTCAAAATATAATTTTAAAAATTTAAGTTAAAATTATAAATTTAAACTTTTCAATCTTACCAATAGCCTGTGAAGTATGGGCATTGTCGCCTCCATTTGACTCATCGGAAAATGGAGCACTGAGACCCTTTCGTCCTCACTGGGTGGATGAGTAAGGCTGGCTCAGAAGTTAACAACTTGCCCAAGGAGACCTCAGTCTGTGCTGCCTCTAAGGGCCACAGTCGCAGTCACCCAGCTGGCCTGCCTCCTACAAGTCCACACCGAGTGTCAGCGGGAGAGGAATATGGCGGGAAAGAAGCAGATCACGTGTCCCAGCCCTCTGTAATCCCAGAGAGATGGGATCACATCCTATACTTGGGGATTTGTGGGTGCCTGTCAGCAAAGCTGGGCACAGACTCAGGGGACCCACATAGTCTTGTAACACAGTGAGCAGCTGCCTGCACTTGGGACTCCACACCTAACAATCCTTCCCCCACCCGGATGAGTTAAAAAGCACGTTAACCTGGTTCCTGACTCTTCATAAACACACGATAAACAGTAAGTCTTGTTATTACTATTGTTATTCCTTAGTGGTGCTTGAGATTCCTTCAACTGGACAAAGCTTCATAGTCCTAACAAGAGACAGTGTAAGAGAAAACTGATGTCGGAAGGGTCTACCTGGCCATGTGACCTTGGATAATCACTTCATGTGTCTGAGCCTGACTTTCCACATCCGAGGAGGACATGATGACCTTCTAGTTATGACACTGTCAGTAACTCACACACTGCCCCATTCACACGGTGGTTATAGATTCACCAATTCCTCCATTAATTTCTCTAATAATCAAGTGTTTACTGGGCATCTACTTTCTACTGGCACTGTTCTAGATATCTGGGACAAAGCACAATCAAACGGGCAAAACTCCCTGCCCTCAGGAGACTTCTAGCCTATTGGGAGGAGAGAGTCAACAGTAATAAGCATACTGAATACAGATGTTAGCAGGGGAGTGGCAGCAGTGGAGATGGTGAGGTGTGATCAGGGTCTAGATTTATATTGAAGGTAGTACCACCGTGGTTTTCAATCAGATGTAGGTTGTAAAATAAGAGCTGGATGATGCCAAGAGGTCTGGCCTGAGCCCCTGGAAATATGAAGTTGCCATCAGCAGAAATGGAGATGGCAGAGTTAATATGGAGCAGCTTTTCTCTTAGGGGAGGTCAGGAGTTCACTCTTGGACATGGGAAGGTTGAGATGAATGTTGGACATGCAGTGGGGATATCTTGTGGATGANAGAAATGGAGATGGCAGAGTAAATATGGAGCAGCTTTTCTCTTAGGGGAGGTCAGGAGTTCACTCTTGGACATGGGAAGGTTGAGATGAATGTTGGACATGCAGTGGGGATATCTTGTGGATGATTGATATCCAAGTCTGGTGATCAGAGGTGAGTTCTGAGGTAATCGATAATTGGGAATTGTAATCACATAGATGTACTTAAAGCCACAGTCTGGATGAAATCACTGAGGGAGAATGCAGACAGAAAAGAGAAGCTGCTAGGCTGTCAGTTGACAGGTCAGTGGGAAACATGGGAGATTTGGAGTTAAGATGGCTTTGAAGTATCTGTGGCACATAGAGTCCTGTCTATGGACCCAGACCACGGGGAAGAGTCAGGATACTCTTGTTGTTTAATGCAGGACATTTAAATCTACAACAAAATGCTAATTTGTTATTTGGAAATAATGTAAAAATTTTCAATAAGCCCCTCTGGCAGTGATTAGCTGAAAAATGAATTTTTAATGAAAATGTACTCAAGGAAGTTGGTGATGAATGTATAAGTTGCACAAAATGTTGATGTTCACATCACTATGGAGGCTGCAGCAATTTCACTGACCACAAGAAAACCTAAGCCACAAAGCTGTTATTTAGAAGTTAGGCTTAAAAGATTATGTCCGAAGACATCAATTTCCCCTATATAGCTGCAGAAGATTCTGTTACAGATTGCTCTGAGAAACATGACTTTTCACTTAGATCAAGCAACTACTCTTGAAATTAATTCAGCTCATTTTTAGTTTCAGTCGTTTGAGTGCACACCCAACAATAAAAGTGGCTGCTGCTGCTGCTGGGTCAGCTCCATACCACCTCCACAGGTAGGGAAATGCTCCACAGGTAGTTCGATATCACCACCCTATGATCCCTCAAATAGAAGAATCAGTCAGTTGCAATTACAATTCAATTATTTCATCCAGTTCATAGAACCACAGAGAACTTTGGAGAGTTCATTTCCAGTGAAGTGAAACAACAGGCTTCTTGTGAACATTTATTCTAAATTCAGCTTAAATTGTTCACATTGGAAATAAAGTTGTACTTTTGTGATTATCAAACAAATACAAATTTTGCTTGGACCAGTGTCCTGGTAATAGCAGTGTTCTGACAAAAAATAAGAGACCAATGACATAGAAATGGACTTTGAACAGGTTCATGGTGACTGCACAATTTGTAGTAAGTTTCAACGTTCTATCAATTGACATGGAGATTATAGTTGACAAAATTTACAAAATTAAAAAACATACACAAAGAGTTACTGAACTACATGTTCTTTGTGATTAAGTTGATGTGAATTAAATAAAAAACCAATTTCACCATGTCTTTTCATTCGTTGCTGCCCATCATCAATTAGTTTTAGAAAATATTGAGATTAAGTATCCTAAAATGTTATTAAACTGGTTGTTAAGCAGAGCTCTAAACTTCTGTAGAATTTTGTTGCAAATCAATTGAATATCTTTAATAAAGGTATTTAATGAATGGAAGGCCAAAACGTCAATGTTTGAAGCTTTTAGCACATTATTGTTGAAAACAAAGCTTTTATGCAGAAAATAATGGAAATAATGGAAATTTATTGCTAAAAAACAAGGGAGGAAATGTTTAAACTAGGTAAAGAGATCTCAGATGGCACATAAGATTTAACTCTAAAATTCTGTAATGAGCTTTGGAATATCAGTTTGTGGGGAGCATCTTTTCAATTGGATAAGTTCATATTCTATACAGAAATGAGAGAAATTGAAAAAGCCTCTGATTTGCTGCATCTAAATTTGACAAAACATTAAAAAATTGTGAAGAGCTATAACTTCTGTGAAGAGTTTAATCTGGTAAAAATATTTATTGAAGAAAGGAACTCTGAGCTCAGACATAAAGGCAGCACTGTGAAAATATCTGGGTTGAAATATTTCTATATTTCCATATGCAAAGACTTGAACTTGAGAATAGCCCCTGCTTGGCAGAATTTGCTCAGAGCTTATCAGGTACCACAGTACCCACAGAGGGAACATTTTCTTAATTAAATATATTCTAGTCCAGAGAAGAGTCAATTGAAGATGCTAATTTAAATTTATTAACCATAAAATTTGAAGAGAAATATTTCAGTGATTATATGGAACAATTAAAAATAATAAGATCACACTGAGAGATGAGTCAGGTACAAACCTGAGACATTGATGGTAGCTTGTGATTTTATGTATCCAGAACAACTATTTTGCTTACATTATGTATCAATGTTCAGTTAAGTAGCATAAAGAAAATGTTTTATCTGGCTTCATTATATGTGGGTTTGTGTGTATATTTTTTTAAATCATATTTTGACTAGAACTACTTTCTAACTCTACCAAAATAATATAGCCAATTTGTTGGTGTATCTATCTATATATAGTGGAATAGTTAATATTTTTTGAAAATAGCTTTTGACCAGAACTGCTTTATAAGTCCCTCAATATATTATAACCAGCCCGTTGTGTTAAGCCATCCAGTTTGTGGTGATTTGTTATGGCAGGAAACCAATACACTCAGCAAACTGATTTCTCAGATGCCCGTGGGGAACCCGGCAGCCTCCATACATGCGTGGAGGGCTGCTTCCAGAGGCCATCGGGCCTCGTGCGCTTCCTCCCTGGGTGCTTCCTGCATGCGCTGAAGAAGTTGTACATGCCAAAGAAGACCCGCATGACTTCTTCTTCCCAGCCCCTATCAGCCCCCATGTGGGGGCTGCAGAGTGAGACCCCGATGCCCAGACCTGACCCTTCCATATCAGCCGAACCTGATCTGCTGAGGGTCAGAAACGACACAGGGCCCCACTGCATTCTGACAACATGCTT